AGAGAGAGAGAGAGAGAGAGAGAGAGAGAGAGAGAGAGAGAGAGAGAGAGAGAGAGAGAGAGAGAGAGAGAGAGAGAGAGAGAGAGAGCATGATCTGATCTGCTTGTTCAGGTGGCTGGTATCTATTACTCAGCTGGGGGCCGGCACAGACTGGACCCGTCGGTCTTGTCTCTGCCAAACAGACTCTCTGGCAAAAATTGATAGGGACACATATAGGGAGGCAGTTACCCCGTGATTGACATTCTTCCTGTTCCCACTGTTGTTGCTGCTGCTACTGTGATCTGCTTGCTCAGGTGGCTGGTCTCGACTACTCTCGGTCGGGGGTCGGCACAGACCGGACGCATTGCTCCTTTCCTGCCAGACAGAACTCTCTGGCGGAAATTGATATTGGGTGCCGGGGACAGCACTCTGTTGGCTGCCATTCATAATAAATATAGGCATATCTGAGAACGGCGCCGAATGCTGCATGCGCCATCGCGGGGTCCAGGCCTTACGTAGAGACAACACGGCAGAGCTGTGGGCACATGAAACAGTTGACGTCAGTGTGAACAAACTTCGGCTGTCCTTGCCAAGGTCTGATCAGCTATTTCATTTCTCATTGACACTTCTGTGACACTTCAGTGACACTTCCGTGACACTTCTGTGACACTCCGTGACACTTGTGACACTTCTGTGACACTTCTGTGACTTTCACGTGCTGCTTTCAGGCACGTCCTAACTGTGGTATCTTCGGCCCAGGTCTTACTTATGTTGGGCTATGAGGTCTGATCGCCGATCTTATTCCTGATTCTCGTGTGTGCTGAAAGCTGCTTTCAGTCCTGGGGTTTGCTATACTTGCCTCCGTTGCTCTCAGTGTTTCTATTTCTATTCATCCCCCTTTATTATGAATGCAGTACGTGGTGCATCAGTGTTGCCAGCTATGAGGGCCGCACTTGCATCTTCAGTGTCGTCAACAGATATGATCGTCCTGAATGTGACAGGACAGAGAGCATATCAGTGCTGTACTCTTCATCCCACTCCCCAAACTGGTGCTTGGCATCGTGATAGGCCCGTGCAAGTGCCAGTGCACGATCCGTTGACAACGAACCTGGTCCTTGTGAAGCATAGGCCTGGAGTGAGTGGTCGGTGTGTCTCTGGACCTGCGGTCTCGCCGCAGTCGAGAACTCCATTGATGGCCTGCTGCAGGTCAGTTCCTGCAGTCACGGGCTTCTCCAGTGTGCTCTCCGACGGTTGGGATGTAATTATTGGCTCATCGCAGAGCAGGGTGCGCAGGGGGGCTAGACTGTACTCTTCGGGCGATAGTGTCATGGCAACCACAGACACACCCACGGTCACTGATGCTGAGGGCGCCCAAGCAGAACCCGCGGTAGTCGCAACTCCTGGTTCCCCGGCAGCACCAGCTGGTATAGCAGGGAGTGATGAAGGTGAAGGGACAAAGACAACGGAGGACGACAATGCGATCGTTGATAGTCTGGACATTAGAATTGGAAAGATAATGAAGGCTTGGAAACACCCAGAGGCAGACAGCCTGTATGTGGAGGAGGTTGACCTGGGGGAGGAGACCGGGCCGCGAACCATTTGCAGCGGCCTTGTTAAGTATATCCCGGAAGCAGAAATGCAGGGGCGATCAGTTGTGGTGCTGGCAAATCTGAAGCCTCGCAACATGCGTGGCGTGAAGTCCAATGGCATGCTCTTGGCTGCCTCCGATGCAGCACATGAGAATGTTGAGCTTGTATCTCCTCCTGTGGATGCTGTAGTTGGAGATAGGGTTTGGTTTGGAGAAGCAGAGGACAAGGGGCGACAGAAAGCGCCGGCAACCGCAAACCAGGTGCAGAAGAAGAAGGTTTGGGAAACCGTTCAGCCCAGGCTGAAGACCAATGAAGAAGGTGTTGTTGTGTATAATGGAAACAAGCCAATGCGAGTTGATACGGGTGTGGTAAATGCACCCAGTCTGAAAGGTGCTAATGTTTCATAAATTCCCCCCCCCCTCCCCCCGCCCCTCTTCGGACTGCTGCTACTTTAGCTGGATATCTGAAATCCTTGAAAAGCCTTTGAATAAATTACAAGCTTCTTATTGATCGATAGAGGCACATATATGCTCTCAGAAGATTCAACGCCTCCGTCAGCTTACCACGTGCGTGTGTGTGTGTGTGTGTATGTGTGTGTGTGTGTGTGTGTGTGTGTGTGTGTGTGTGTGTGTGTGTGTGTGTGTGTGTGTGTGTGTGTGTG